TGATGAGGGATTATGACGACGTGCCACGCAAACTAATGCACGAAGCTGCTTTTCTCCCTCTTACATACCCTTCATTTGAAAGTCCCGAAATGGCGGGAACTTCAAACGACCGTGGATGTGGGATTGTGAACATGAAATCATGATATCTTATTTCTGAAGATGTTTAAGTCGAGATATTGGAGTATTGAAGATCATTGGTGTTCATCAGTTCACGTACTGCACGTGAATTTCAATGAACCCTGATCGTGAACTAGACCAAGCACTTATTCCTATGGATAGACTGATAGACAGTCGAGTTGCAAAGTAAGGGGGCATATTTTGAATACCAGAACCTAAAGGAGTTGTGGGCTTTTCTTTGAATCAAAGGAAAAGTTAGGAGAAGAAAAGGAGGAGCAATCTAGTTATGAATTTGGAGTTGATTTTTCTTCAATGATCAAGGGCTTCATGATGCTCTTTTCTTCACAATTTCTTTGTGTTCCTCTAACCCCATTCATGGGGTAACACTTTAGGTATTTGAGGTAAGAACCTCTAATCTAGTTTAGGGTTTGAATATGTAATGGATGATTTTATTATAATTATAGTATATCATGTCTATTTTACAGCCTGTTTGGATTGACAAAAAAGTAAGGAATTGGAATTCCATTTCCAATTCCATTTCCATATATTATGTTTGGAATAATAAAAAGGTTGAGAATTGAATTCCAATGGGTCTAAAATATGGGAATTACAATTCCTATCAAAAGTGATAGGAATTGAGAGAATGAAGATGGAATTAGTGGGACCCATCAATACTTTTTATTATTTTGTTGACCCACTATCATTTTACTCTCTTTCTCTCTCATTCATATTTCATTTCCCAAAATAAAACAAACATATTACATTATTCATTATGGTTAAAAGTGCAATTCATTTCCATAGTTGTAGGAATTATACCAAACACTAGAATTGGAAATGAAATTCTATAAAAATAAAAAATTGAATTCCATTTCCATTTCCATTTCTTCCGGAATTGTATCCAAACAGGCTGTTATTGATAATGCATGAACAAAAATATCATAAAAAGAATCCAGAGAAGACCAAGCTCTAGCAACTGCTCATCAGTTTGGAAGTAGGGATGACAATTGTTCCTATACCCATGGGTTTTTTACTATCCAACCCAATTGGGTTGGGTATGAAATCCAAATAGATGGATATTGGTAGAGTTTGATGGTTTGTATCCATACCCATTTACTTGGGTTGGGTTGGGTTTATAACAAATATATTTGGTTTTGTACTCATGCTCAAATGCAAATTACAGTTTGGTACCTAAACTTAATAGATATGCATATTTAGTACCTGTTTTTTTGCATATAAGTCCTCAAAATATTGATGAAAAATTACGTTTGGTACCTAAATGTTTTTTTATCTTACATTTTGGTATCTAAACTTTTCAAGTTTTACAAACAAGTCCAATTTTTGCATGTATAGTTAAAACACCCTCAAGTAAATGGATATGCATATCCATTCCATACTCATTTAGATTATGGAAGCAATTATTTATACCTTACTCAACCCATTATGAATGGATCTACTTGGGTTTGGGTATAATTACCCATGGGCAGTGGCGGATTCAGAAAATTTTCACAGGGGTGTCCTCTTCAAAAATTAAATTTAATTAAATAATAAATTAAATAATTCATATATTAAAAATATCATACTTGTATAGAATTTTTATTAAAATTCATGATGTGTTTTCATATTTGAAAAATAATATAAAATAAACTTCGTGTCTGCACTGTTCAAAAAAAATCTACATATCCTACTAGACAATACTTCACGAAATTATCACATATTCGATTTCTAACCTTGTTCTTAATGTAGCTCAAAGTAGAAAAGACTCTTTCAACACTTGCCGTGTAACCATAAAATCAATTCAAAATTAAGGGTAGCGTGTACGTAGTTTAATTATTAGGTATTGAAAATAGTTGGGGATAAATAAATAGCGTTTTACTAGTTGCATGATGTTTAAAATAGAATAACAAATGAGTAGCAACATAATTAAAATATGTTTGATAATAGTAGTGTCCTAGGTTGGAATAACACGGACTACCACTTATATTTTGTTAATCATAAGCAAACTATTATCGAGGGTAGGATAATCATTTTTTCAAATGTTAGGGTGTCCCGAATTACCAATTATATTTTGTATACCCATACGAAACTACTATCGGAGGTTAGATAATCGTTTTTCCAAATTTTAGGGGTGTCCCGGGACACCCCTAGAGGCCCATGTATCCGCCCCTGCCCATGGGTGGGTAATTACCATCCCTATTTGGAAGAGGTAGAAAAGGTATGATTGATAGAGGAAAGAAAAAGAGGAGGTAGAGGCCGAAGTAGGGAGTGCTTTAAATGTCACAAATTTGGGCATTTTAGAAGTGAATGTCTAGAGTGGAATAAATATCCGCAACAGACTCGCTATAACAACCCTCATCTAAATCGGGACATATCACAAACTAGTCATTTTCATGCTTAATTGAGAATTCCTACCGCTACTCGAATGATGTAAATTTTGAGAATTTTGAACACCATACCTAGCATGATGGGAATTGCAACATATATAATGACCATCCATTAATTCAATTACAATAATTCAATGTGCTTGAATGCCTAAAGTGACAATTGGGTTAATGGTCACCCTCCTAGACATGATAACCAACTCAATGATCATGTAATTAGCCACCATAGTTAGGGTTAGGGATATGCTCAATCATTGTCAATTGGGATGAACCCATAATCGCACATTAGAAATTCAATGGTCTTGCAATTACCTAAATTGCGTTATTGAAAGTTAGCTCTATTTTACCAAAGTGGATGGTGCTGACTAGGCGCTCACGTTAGCCACGTCTGCACATAACAGACTCTTTTAACGGAGTTGGACGGCAACTAACGGCGAGTGACTAAATGTGTCCAGTTTTAGTAATTATAGTGACCAAATTTAATTGCATGGTTGGTCACTGAGATTACAAAAAACGTTCATGTTTGGTCACTGAAAATATTTAAATCCAATCTTGGTCACTCAAATTAGTTAAATGGTTCAAGATTGGTCACTCTCCGTCCAACTCCGTTAAATATGTCTGATGTGGCAGTCAACCATCAAAGTTGACTGTTAACTCGATGATGTGGCAATTAAAATATAATAAATAAAATAAATTTTAATCTTCTACCATTTCCAACTCATTTTCACAATAAAGTAAAATAAAAAAATAAAAAAATTATTATAATTAAAAGAGTAGCTCCAGGCTCGCCTCGATCCCGTCGATCACCGCCTTCCCGCCCGTGTGGATGCAGAAGTGCTCCACCCCTGTTTTGAAATTAATCACCGGCGGCTTCCCCCTCTTCGCTCCAGATCCGGCCGCGAGGTCTTCAATTTCCTCATCGAGTACACCGCCACGAACCGGACCAGCTCCCTGACCGGCAGGATTTTGGGGGAGATTTCCCTGAGATTGTCAACGAACACCCGGGTTGCAGCTTTGGGCAGATTCTTCGCCAGGTGGAACCCAAGCCTCCCCTGTTCGTCCTCCTTCTGGATACAACACCCGTAAGAATCGTCCTTCCCGCCGTGGTGTGTGCGGACCAGGGTCTTGAGCTTGAAGATGCAGCGGTGCCTCAAGGACCGCTTGTTGGTGAGCAGAATCGCGCACCCACCCGATGGCAATTGGCTAGAATCATGGATCTGTCGTTGCCCGCGTACCAATTGGGGCTGAGAGACTCGGAAGTGACGACGAGGGCGACCTTGTTTTTTTGTGCACGGAAGGTGTTCGACACAATGCCTACGGAGATCAAGCTGGCGCTGCAGCCCATACCGGTGAGATTGAACGTCCTGACGTCGTCCCGCATCTTGTAGTGGTTGACGATGCGGGAGGTGGGGGAAGGGACAGCGGCGAGCATCGAGACTTTGACAACGAGGAGGTCGATTTCGTCCGGCTTGACGCCGGATCGGGCGAGGAGCTTGCCGATGGTGTCGTGGAAGAACTCGTCCATCTCGAGGAGGCCGTCGCGGAGGGTAGGGTTCTCCTCGCGGCCCTCGAAGACCATGCGCGGGACGTAGGTCTCTTCGCCGATGCCGGATGAGATCATGGCCTTGAGGAGGAACTTGTACTCTTTCAATTATAATATTTTTTTTTTATTTTTTTTTATTTTACTTTATTATGAAAATGAGTTGGAAATGATAGTAGATTAAAATTTATTTTATTTATTATTTTTTAGTTGCCACGTCACCGAGTTAACGGTCAACTTTGAGGGTTGACTGCCACATCAGACATATTTAACGGAGAGTGACCAAACTTGAACCATTTAACTAATTTGAGTGACCAAGATTGGATTTAAATATTTTCAGTGACCAAACATGAACTTTTTTTGTAATCTCAGTGACCAACCATGCAATTAACTCTTAAATTTTTATAGTGACTAAACATGTCCCGATTTTGTAATCTCAGTGACCAAATGTGTCTTTAACCCCGCAGAAACTGTTTTAAAGTTCTCGAATGAGATGTTAATATATAAGCGTATTTCCAAAAGAAGTTTTGGGATTTTTGACCGAAAGAGGTGATATTATTTAGGGTAAGCTTGCTACAGAAGAAGCAAAGGTCTATTATGTCAAGTGAAGCTTATCAGCAGCTTTAACTCTAACTCTTTAATTTGTTTCTTCTTTGATGGTGCTTCATTTCTTATTTATCCTTTTCAATTTGTGAGTTATGTGAGGGTGCAAAAGCTTTTGCACTACTATTACATTTAATAGGAATCACTACAACAAAAGTCGCCTACGGCAGGGGTCATTTTCCAGCGGTTGTGAGATTGGCTGCCGGGTTTTACTCGATAAAACTTATGCAGCGGTATAAGCAGCGGTTAAGGGGACCGCTTTGGGAAAAATCCCCAAATCCTTATATCTTTACCCGGCCCAACTGAATTGGCCTACCTCCGGAAATTGGTTTTCCATTTCCCCATTTTTTTTGCAATTGTAAAGCTCTCCCAATTCGATTAAAAAAAAATTGGTCCCCGATTCCTTTTCTTTCCAAAATCGAGTTCTTTCTTTTCTCCGCTCTCCAGCAAGAACCCTAACATCACCACGCGCACAGGAGACCCCAATCCTCTGATTTCTTCTCGAACCTTTGCAGCTTGAGACCTAGATCTTTGCTTGCTCTGCTTCGACCCTCGTCCAGTCTACCTGCAACTCCGATGAACTCACTATCGCCGCCCAGATCTCCTTCTTCCGTCTGGAGGTCTGACCTTCGCGGAATCGTGGTTCTGCCAGTATTTACAGTCTCCCTGGTTCCGCATCTGTCTACTCTCGTCCGCTGGTAAGAACTCGTGAATTGATTTCTTTCTCTCTCTTTATTGACTTGGATTTATGGTGAACTCTCTCTCTCTCTGTTATACAGTCTTCTTCTAGCATGAAGGAGGCAGAGTCAGCAAGCAATTGAAACTTCAGTTTTGATGACGAGATGAACTTTGTGGTTGTTGTGTGCATTGAGGAGAAGCGAGATGTGGATCAATCTCAATTAAAGTAATCAGGCCTCGTAAGAGGCAATTAGGTTTTGGTATTTGTGATGTTTGGGTTATTGAATTCGTATCAATTAGAAGTACCTACCAATGATGAAAATTGGGCATGAATCCATTCGTCTGTTAATTTTGCTTTGGAAAGTGAATAAAATTAAATTTTGTGACTCCAGAATGAGAAGGTGAGTAGTTGGAACTAATGGTGGAAATGGCAAGAACACTACACAATCGGTTGTTTTTTTATCTCAATAGCTTGACTGTGATGCAAAGAGGCACAAGTGTTTAACTGTCTCTTACTATTATCTTTTCAGTCAATGTTATACTTATTTTTGTTTTGGTTTTACAGGATGGGAAAACTCCACCGATTGTACCAGTTGTTATTTCGCCATATGGATTATTTCCGTCACTCCATATTGAACCTTTTTTTAATCACTAGTAATGTCTCTCTTTCTTTGATATTTGTCAGCCACTTCTACAGTGGAGCTTGTTGATATTAAGTTACCATTGACACTCTTTCATGAAAATGCGAAGTTGATTTCCCTACAACTTCACCACTTATCGGTATGTGTACTGTGATCAAGAACTTAAAATTTATTAGCTTTACTTTCTGTCCTATTAATCCTCTGGTCTATATCTTATGAGCTTGGGCATTCGAAGGAAGAACTTTTGAACTCTGCTTTCCGCTTTCTGATTCCTGCTTACTGTCTTTAGTTTCATTGTTGCCTGACTCTTCTCTTTCAAAAGCTTATTGATCAGGTACCCCAAACCGTTACAAAAGCAAGCATGAACTCTTCCTCGACTCGGTTCGTGACTTCGGGAGGGATGGGGATGTGGGGAGAAAGTTTCAAGAGCAATGGAAGTCCTCATCCACTGTCATCAACGCTTATACCGAATACATCTTCGTCGTTGATTATAACAGCAGATATGAAGCTAGACAATCAGGTTACTGTCACACAGGTTCTTTCAATTTGCTGTTTGATTCTTCGTTGATAGAGACTGAATTCTGAAATATTCTCTTCTGCAAATTTTGCAGTCATAAGATACTTCCGGGACCCCTGGACCGCTTAATAAGTACGAACAAGAAGTGACTAAATCGAGCGAGAAGGTAATGTAATGGGTTTAGCTTCTGCAAATTTTGCAGTCATAAGATACTTCCGTTATTTTCCTTTAACTTAGTGAAGAAGTACCCATATTTGCTTTGTTTTTTCTTTCGGTTAAATAAATGACCAGCCATACTGTGTGAGATGAGGTAGGAGGGATGGATTTGAAGAGTTGCAAGCTGTAAATTTGGATTGTGTCATGCTGTCAGGTACATCTTCCCTATACTTATGTACGTACGCAAGCAAGGTTAGACTTTGGTTTTTTTTTTTTCATTTTTTGTTTCATTATTTCCATCTTTTGTGGGTTTTTTTTTGTTTCAAGCTTATCTTTTACTCTTCCTATTGGTTCGCTTTCTATATATTTCAATATCAAGCTTCTATGTTGCTCTTCCTATTGGTCTGCTTTCAAAATAGACAAACTAGAAACTAACCCGAGAGACAGGAAATGTGTTGAAGATATGCTTTTGTGCTACACTTTCCCACCCCTTATGTCAGTTTTATTAACTTAAATATAGCTAACATGAGAGAGATGAGAAGTATATTGAAGAACTTAAATCTGGTCTTTTGCTTTCAATCACTATTTCATTTGTTGTTGTAGGTTGCAGATATCCAGGAAACAAGCCGATGTGGTATCAGAACTAACTAATCCATATATCAATAGCTTCAATTATGCACTTGGACAACTCTCTATTAATTCGGTTATATTTGTCTTTGTGACCTAGAAAATAACGGAAGGGGATTCAGAAGGAGGTCAATGGAGGGTTCATTTTCATCAAGCCAATTTGCTACACGAGGACAAAAGGTAAGTAAAAAAAAAACACAAACTGCATCTCTGTGTTAATTAGTCGTGCCAGTTCTTTTCTGTATTTTATTTGTGGTTGTGCATTAACATGTTTGGAGTTGCGGAACTTAAGAAACTCCCATGATAAGTAACTCCCCACTCAAGTCAGACATGCATAGACGTCTATATAGTTTCAAATTCAACTATTTGCTAAGCTTCTGTTGATAAAATCTCATGTTTCAATGTTCTTTTGACAAGTTATCACATCTTCTTTAGGTCCTCTTTATGGTAGCTTGAATGTCTTGAGTACTTGCACTTGATTACATATAATTTTGATGTTAGATAAACTCCATTTGCTAGGAATTGATAAAGAATGCTAAATCCAAGATTTGTATGTCACTCGGTTTATTTCTCCTGTTATGTGCTTCCAGGGGGTTTTGTTGCTATGAATCTTTTTTCATGTTATGTTTTCATTATCTTCTCCAAGCTATTTTGTAAGATGACATTTTGTTTTTGTTTTTATGCCTTTTTAACAGGTGAATATGGGTTTTGAAAAGAAAGCACTGCATGATGTGGACGATTCAGAAGACAACAAAGTTTGACTTCCTTTTGATATGAATAGACAACAAACTTGTCTTTGCTCAAATTTAACAGTGTTACTTTGATTGTGAATTGTTGATTTGGTGAGTTTCTATTTGTTTGATTTCCTTTTGATAATGTGTACCACGAGTGATGTGTACTGTGACTGAAGTTAGCTAGTTGTGGCAAGAATAGAAGTTCATGGGAGATTTGAAATCCAGTAAGCAGGTAATAAGGGTTGTACAATTTTATGGGGAAACTGTGAAACGCAAAATTTGTAAACTTTCGCGACGGTTTTAATTTGCGTCGCTAAAGGTATCGTCAAAAATGATTATTCGGCGGTTTGGGGAATAATGATAACAGTAGGGGTTCTAAAACCGCTGGCTTAACACCTATAACTGCTGCAAAAGTTCACTATAAAACTCTCGTAAGATGAAATGGCGACAGTTTTAACCGTTGCCAAAACCGCAGCTAATACAATCACCAGGGGTTGGGCCGAACGCTGCCATACATTTGCAGCAGTCATCCTAGCGGCGGTTTTGCAGGGGTCATAAAAACCGCTGCCGGGTTAGTTAGCGACGGTTTAATTCGTCGCTAAATGACAGAAAATCCCCTGCTGTATGTTGTTTGTTTTGTAGTGAATGTCCTGTAAAACATAAACAAATAAGTGAACCAATTCATATTTAGAAGATTACTCATACAAGCAAACAAAATTATTAAGCTCTTCAAGATGCATTCACCACATTCCTGTAGCTTTCCGGGGAAAGTAAGAAGAGGAAACCAACAACAAATAATGAAACTAGAAGGCTTTATGGGCAAGTTTTACTACCTAATGAAAACAACAGCAAGTGGCAGGCTGAAGGAGAAGGAACTTTGACAACAACGTGGTTACACAGTGGGTGAGAGTTGCAGGGGGCGGATTTTCGGGTTGATACACGATGCCAAAGTTGAAATAGCAAAGGGAGCCACCAGAGAGGATGTTGGACGTAGCATTGCGGGGAGCTTGCCAGAAAGGACGTTGGCGAGTGGACCCTGAATGCGGCGTGTGTGCTTGTTTTGGCAGGTCCGGCCCTGAGCCTGTGCTGGCAGGCCCCCAGCACAGGGCCTCAGGAAAATAGGGGCCTCACATAATCCATTTGTGTGTTACGGGCTTTATTTGTTTGTTATAAGCTGTTGGATTTAATGGGCCTACACAAAGAAAAACAGAGGCCTTAAACTCATGGCTGCATATATTTATGAATACACTTATACAAGGTTTTTTACTTCTTTTTTTTTTTAACATTTGTCGGAATCGTGTCCCAGAAAATAGGCTTCCTATACCGTAAAAAAAAAGGCTTCCTACAGTGTTTTTCAGCCTCGTGAGTCGTGAGTCACGAAGTCCAATATGTATTTATATTACCGGAAAAAATGTATACAGCATTTTGGACTTTGGACTTTTGGCAATGATTTCTTAATAATGTTTTTGCAGCATATTTGGATGATACTTATTGACACAGGAAGTCCAAATTTATGTATTAACAGAGTATTTCCTCGCTTTACCATTACAACAATATTTTTGTGTCACAAAAAATTAGATAAACATATATTTTATGCATTGTAGGATTTTACATTGACCAAATATTATAGTTATTTGTTGGCACTTTATATGCTGTAGATTTCAAATGCATATTAAATGTTGTTATTATAAAAGTAGCATTATAAATGACTTTCAAAAGCTTATAATTCAAAGAAGATGGGCTTTTCATCCTTGACTTCTACCTAATAAATTTTTTGGCACTTTTTTTTATAATTTTATGATAAAAATACTGTAATAACAAATAGCAAATTTAGAATTTGTTCATAAATTATATAACATAATGAACCAAATATTAGAGATATTTGTTTCCGACAGGTTTTGTCAGGTTTGATTTGCGGCTTGGTTGCGCTCATTGTAAATCTTGCACTAAATTTTGTTAAATCATCATGTGTTTATCATTTGTACATCTTATTTTTAAAAAAACATTTCCTATTAAATTTATCAAAAAATGTTTGGGCCACATTTTCTTTTCAGAACAGGGCCTCCGAAAGTTCAGGGCCGGCCCTGTGTTTTGGAGTAGAGAGAAGGGAGAATCGAGGAGAAACGGCGATGAATTAGGGATGAGGGGTTTGTAGAAGAAAATGATGAACATTGAAGGATTATAATACTTAAAAACAAACAAAACTACGCCTTTTTCCCCTGTAAAACTTACTCAACCAGACATACTATGGTCCTAAAATTTGGATATAAAAATCCTACAAAAAGCTAGCTTATAAGGCTTTTACTGTGCATGAGGCTTTTACTGTGCATGAGCGCTTTTACTTGGATTTTTCTTAGTCTTTTGGTTCAAAACGCTTCTGAAAGAAAATCTATAATCTTTAGGGGGTCCAAACCAAAGCATAAATGTATATACTTTTACGCTTCCAAACTAGTTTTTTTACTGCATTGCCCTCATCAATAAATTGCATCAAGGCGTCTTTGATCAGAATGTAGTTGGAGACTAATGCAAAAAGATAAGAAAAGGAAGTGAAATAAATTTTTTTTTAGCGATTAGATCACTCTCACGGAGGAAAGAATTCAAATACAGAACTACTACGAAGCCAATGAACAAAGTGGAACTACTTTAACATGACAAAAATAGGGCTCCACTTTACACCAAATGAGCCGCCTTATTACCTACTCGACCAACAAAGCATTCTTTAACACATGAAAGCTGGGTACACTTTTTCACCCAAATTTACTACTACTGTTTCATTCCTTGGCGTTTTGTGGAAGCCGATTGGAGGAGCTTCCTCAACTGACTTCCTTCTGGCCCAATAGAACTATAGAAGAACTACCTCAGCTATAGGTGTCAATCGGGCAGGTTCGGGCGGGTTTGGGCTGGGTTCAATCGGGTTCGGGTTCAAACGGGTTGCGGGTTAGTCGGGTTGCGGGTTCATCGGGTTCGGGTTCATCGGGTTCGGGTTCAAACGGGTTGCGGGTTAGTCGGGTTGCGGATTCGAGTTCAATCGGGTTGCGGGTTTTGGGTCGGGCGGGTTGCGGGCGGATCGGGTTTCGGGTTTTTCGGGCCAGCGCATCAAGTAACTTAACTCATTACTCATTACCAACTTACACATTTTATTACACTAATTTCAAATATTTTCTCAACTTTTTAACCAACTTATTTCTACCTCGTATATATATACTTTATTTTTTTGAAAAAAACTAGTCAAAATGTTAAATCAATTTGTATGACTTGCAAACTTGTTATGTAATTAATCATAATTTGTAAAGTATTATAGCTAATAGTAATGGTGATATCAATATTTGCATTCAAAAGACAACATTAATTGTTTATTTGATATTTTAGTATTAATTCAATAGTAATTGGATTAAAGTATCTCGATTAGTATAACCATGCAAATCTGGTATTTGGTGTGTGGTATTTGGCAAAAGCATAGTGATAAAAGGAGTTATTTCGAAATAACTCATTGCCCAAATAACTTCAGTAAACTGTTGCCAAACGAGTTATTTGTAAAATTGTTCGAATTATCCTAAAAATTGAACCATTAAAGATTAGCTATCAAATTTAGTAAAATTATTGTTACTTCAA